TCATACTAGACACATGCTGGTAGTTAAACACCAACACAAACGTGTTCTCCTGTTTATACAGTACACGTCAGACTGCAGTACACGTCAGACTGCAGTACACGTCAGACAGACTGCAGTACACGTCAGACAGACTGCAGTACACGTCAGACAGACTGCAGTACACGTCAGACAGACTGCAGTACACGTCAGACTGCAGTACACGTCAGACAGACTGCAGTACACGTCAGACAGACTGCAGTACACGTCAGACAGACTGCAGTACACGTCAGACTGCAGTACACGTCAGACAGACTGCAGTACACGTCAGACAGACTGCAGTACACGTCAGACAGACTGCAGTACACGTCAGACAGACTGCAGTACACGTCAGACTGCAGTACACGTCAGACTGCAGTACACGTCAGACTGCAGTACACGTCGACTGCAGTACACGTCAGACTGCAGTATCACTCAGACCAGACTGCAGTACACGTCAGACAACTGCAGTACACGTCAGACAGACTGCAGTACACGTCAGACAGACTGCAGTACACGTCAGACAGACTGCAGTACACGTCAGACAGACTGCAGTACACGTCAGACAGACTGCAGTACACGTCAGACAGACTGCAGTACACGTCAGACAGACTGCCAGTACAACGTCAGACACAGACTGCAGTACACGTCAGACTGCAGTACACGTCAACGCATACACGTCAACAGACTGCAGTACACGTCAGACAGACTGCAGTACACGTCAGACAGACTGCAGTACACGTCAGACAGACTGCAGTACACGTCAGACAGACTGCAGTACACGTCAACTGCAGTACACGTCAGACTGCAGTACACATCAGACACTGCAGTACACGTCAGACAGACTGCAGTACACGTCAGACAGACTGCAGTACACGGCAGACAGACTGCAGTACACGGCAGACAGACTGCAGTACACGGTCAGACAGACTGCAGTACACGTCAGACAGACTGCAGTACACGTCAGACAGACTGCAGTACACGTCAGACAGACTGCAGTACACCACGTCCAGACATCAGACCTGCAGTACACGTCAGTACAGACTGCAGTACACGTCAGACAGACTGCAGTACACGTCAGACAGACTGCAGTACACGTCAGACAGACTGCAGTACACGGTCACAGAGACTGCAGTACACGCCAGACAGACTGCAGTACACGGTCACAGAGACTGCAGTACACGGTCACATAGACTGACAGATGTACAGACAAATGAATGGTTTTTGGAGCCACTGTGGCGGCGGAGGCGTTAGCTAAGTGTATGTGTGTGTTGCAGGGCGTGGCAGGTGCGGGGCGGTCTCAGGATGATGCCATGGTAGACTACTTCTTCCAGCGGCAGCACGGAGAACAGCCTGGCAAACACCGCTGGCCCCCTGGGGATAACATCCACGACAGCCAGGTACTAGGGGGGGGGGGGGTAAAATCAGAAAATGCTCTAGGTTTGAGTTTATAGGCCTAGTCTTTACTGGCCGTCGCTCCTTAGCTCTGTGTGTGTAACCTGGTCTCTCTGTAGGGGTGTGTGTTACTCTACCCTGGTCTCTCTGTAGGGGTGTGTGTTACTCTACCCTGGTCTCTCTGTAGGGGTGTGTGTTACTCTACCCTGGTCTCTCTGTAGGGGTGTGTGTTACTCTACCCTGGTCTCTCTGTAGGGGTGTGTGTTACTCTACCCTGGTCTCTCTGTAGGGGTGTGTGTTACTCTACCCTGGTCTCTCTGTAGGGGTGTGTGTTACTCTACCCTGGTCTCTCTGTAGGGGTGTGTGTTACTCTACCCTGGTCTCTCTGTAGGGGTGTGTGTTACTCTACCCTGGTCTCTCTGTAGGGGTGTGTGTTACTCTACCCTGGTCTCTCTGTAGGGGTGTGTGTTACTCTACCCTGGTCTCTCTGTAGGGGTGTGTGTTACTCTACCCTGGTCTCTCTGTAGGGGTGTGTGTTACTCTACCCTGGTCTCTCTGTAGGGGTGTGTGTTACTCTACCCTGGTCTCTCTGTAGGGGTGTGTGTTACTCTACCCTGGTCTCTCTGTAGGGGTGTGTGTTGCTCTAATGGTCTCTCTGTAGGGGTGTGTGTTACTCTACCCTGTCTCTCTGTAGGGGTGTGTGTTACTCTACCCTGGTCTCTCTGTAGGGGTGTGTGTTACTCTACCCTGGTCTCTCTGTAGGGGTGTGTGTTACTCTACCCTGGTCTCTCTGTAGGGGTGTGTGTTACTCTAATGGTCTCTCTGTAGGGGTGTGTGTTGCTCTACCCTGGTCTCTCTGTAGGGGTGTGTGTTGCTCTAATGGTCTCTCTGTAGGGGTGTGTGTTACTCTACCCTGGTCTCTCTGTAGGGGTGTGTGTTACTCTACCCTGGTCTCTCTGTAGGGGTGTGTGTTACTCTACCCTGGTCTCTCTGTAGGGGTGTGTGTTACTCTACCCTGGTCTCTCTGTAGGGGTGTGTGTTACTCTACCCTGGTCTCTCTGTAGGGGTTGTGTGTTACTCTACCCTGGTCTCTCTGTAGGGGTGTGTGTTACTCTACCCTGGTCTCTCTGTAGGGGTGTGTGTTACTCTACCCTGGTCTCTCTGTAGGGGTGTGTGTTACTCTACCCTGGTCTCTCTGTAGGGGTGTGTGTTACTCTACCCCTGGTCTCTCTGTAGGGGTGTGTGTTACTCTACCCTGGTCTCTCGTTAGGGGTGTGTGTTACTCTACCCTGGTCTCTCTGTAGGGGTGTGTGTTACTCTACCCTGGTCTCTCTGTAGGGGTGGTGTGTTGACTCTAACCCTGGTCTCTCTGTAGGGGTGTGTGTTACTCTACCCTGGTCTCTCTGTAGGGGTGTGTGTTGCTCTACCCTGGTCTCTCTCTCTAACCTGGTCTCTCTGTCTGTAGGTGCGGTCGATGGATGCGCTGAACCATGACTTCCAGGCTCTGGCTTTAGAAGGGCGTGCCATGGGAGAGGTAAGGGGTCAGGGGTTACAGGTCAAGTAGTTTGAGGACCATAGACACTCAGCCTACCAAAGGCCACGTGACGGTGGTAGGAAGAGTGCTGTAGCCCAGAATAAAGCGTCCCGTACATCAAATCCTGCTGCTATAGCAACCTTCAGCAATGTAATATTAGCTAGCAGTTAGTGATTTGACAGTTATTTAGCCGTTCAGAGGAAAACGCCCTAACACTTCTCTCTCTCTCTTTTACTCTGGTTCCTCTTTCTCTCTCCCCTCCCCCTCTCCTCTACAGCAGCTTCTGACAGGTAAGAAGTTTTGGGAGAGTGATGAAGCTGGAAAAGATGGACCAAAAGGGATCTTCCTGGACCAGTGGCGGGACAGCGCATGGGGGGCCACAGGTAAGACCGAGAGTGGGCCCAGCCCCAGGATTGAAACACCAAGTATGAGTGCCCAGCGAAATGCGTGAGCATGTTTGTAGTTTTAACAATAGTTCTTTCTTTCTCCTCTACCAGACCACTCGGTGTCTCAGCCAATCATGGTGTCTCGTCGGCCGGGTGGGGGGTTCCATGGTGGCGGCGAGGTGGGCGGGTCAGTGATGTCACCGCGGTCAGAGAGCGGGGGGTTAGGGGTCAGTATGGTAGAATACGTCCTCTCCTCCTCTCCCGCCGAGAAACTGGACTCCTGCCTCCGCAAGGGACCCTACGTAAGTAGCTTACACTCATTTACACTCCATCATTCTATACCTTTGTCACTACATGGTTCACTGTCACCAACACTGACCCCCTCTCATCACTGACAACCTGGTCTTCTACCTGCACTAGGTTACATTGCATACATCCTCTCGTTTAGAACTCCCCCTCTCTCACTGGTTCATTCCTCCCAAGGCTCTATGGATCTCCTGCTCTTTTCACTATAGATTACTGTCACTTTATTGATCAATCTGTCAATCACAGTGTTCTCAATCTGTCGTCCAACTATTTAGTTATGCAATTTATGCATATCTCTCTCTCTCTCTCCTCTCTTCTCTCTCTCTCTCTCTCTCTCTCCTCTCTCTCTCTCTCTCTCTCTCTCTCTCTCTGTGTCTCTGTCTCTGTCTCTGTCTCTCTCTCTCTCTCTGTCTCTCTCTCTCTCTCTGTCTCTCTCTCTCTCTCTCTCTCTGTGTCTCTGTCTCTGTCTCTCTGTCTCTGTCTCTGTCTCTCTGTCTCTCTTCTCTCTCTCTCTCTCTCTCTCTCTCTCTCTCTCTCTCTCTCTCTCTCTTAGGGTCCGAGGGATGGAGAGGTGGAGGAGGAGAAGCGGGAGAAAGCAAAGGCTCCATTTGAAGGAGAGAAACTCAAGGAGATGGCGGAGGGAGAGGTTGATGTCATCAGTGATGTCATCAACCCCAACGGGCTTCCTGTGCAGAACGGCCTGGATGTGGACGTCAAAGAGTACAGGTACACACACACACACTCCTCTTCCGTGTACACTGAGTATACAAAACATTAAGAACACCTGCTCTTTCCATGACATAGACTGACCAGGTGAATCCAGGTGAAAGCTACGATCCCTTATTGATGTCACTTGTTAAATTCACTTCAATCAGTGTAGATGAAGGGGAGGAGACAGGTTAAAGAATGATTTTTTTAAAGCCTTGAGACAATTGAGACTTGGATTGTGTATGTGTGCCTTTCAGAGGGTGAATGGGCAAGACAAAAAATGTAAGTGCCTTTGAACGGGGTATGGTAGTAGGTGCCAGGAGCACCGGTTTGTGTCAAGAACTGCAACGCTGCTGGGTTTTTCACGGTCAACAGTTTTCCTTGTGTATCAAGAATGGTCCACCACCCAAAGGACTTCCAGCCAACTTGACACAACTGTGGGCCAGCATCCCTGTGGAACACTTTGGACACCTTGTTGAGTCCATGCCCCGACAAATTGAGGCTGTTCTGAGGGCGAAAGGGGGAGGGGGGGGTGCGCAACTCAATATTATGAAGGTGTTCCTAATGTTTAGTATACTCAGTGTACATGCACACTCACACGGATGCCAAAGCTCACCATGTTTCCCCTTCTCCCCCCCACCGCTCTCTTCCATCTCTCCAGTCGTCAAGGCCAGATACTGCCCGTGGGGCCGGACACTGACATGATAGGGGGTGTAGGAGGGGAGGGTATGGGCTCCATGGGAGGCGGGGGTCCCAAACCCCAAGAGGACTTCTCTGGGGTGGAACAGGGCGTTACCATGGATAACATGCAGTCTGTGATGGAGCCTCTGCAGTTTGACTACAACTCCCAGATGGCCATGGACTCGCAGCCTACCGTGGGCCTGTTCGACTACAGCAACCAACAACAGGTGTGTGTGATGACGACCATGGACTCCTCTACTAATGCAACCAGCAGAGGTGTATGTGTGTGTATCCTAACGTGTGTGACTGTGAGCATAACGTGTGTGTGTGTGTGTGTGTGTATAATATAACCTGTGTATATACAGTGCATTCGGAAAGTATTCAGACCCCTTGACTTTTTCCACATTTTGTTACGTTACTGCCTTATTCTAAAATTGATTAAATTGTTTATTTTCCCCCCTCTTCAATCTACACACAATACCCCATAATGACAAAGCAAAAACAGGTTTTTATACATTTTTGCAAGTGTATTAAAAATAAACAACAGAAATACCTTATTTACATAAGTGTTCAGACCCTATGAGACTCGAAATTGAGCTCAGGTGCATCCTGTTTCTATTGATCATCCTTGAGATGTTTCTACATCTTGATTGGAGTCCACCTGTGGTAAATTCAATTGATTGGACATGATTTGGAAAGGCACACACCTGTCTATATAAGGTCCCACAGTTGACAGTGCATGTCAGAGCAAAAACCAAGCCATGAGGTGGAAGGAATTGTCCGTAGAGCTCCAAGACAGGATTGTGTCGAAGGCACAGATCTGAGGAAGGGTACCAAAAACATTTCTGCAGCATTGAAGGTACCCAAGAACACAGTGGCCTCCATCATTCTTAAATGGAAGAAGTTTGGAACCACAAAGACACTTCCTAGAGCTGGCCGCCCGGCCAAACTGAGCAATCGGGGGAGAAGGGCCTTGGTCAGGGAGGTGACCAAGAACCCGATGGTCACTCTGACAGAGCTCCAGAGTTCCTCTGTGGAGATGGGAAAACCTTCCAGAAGGACAACCATCTCTGCAGCACTCCACCAATCAGGCCTTTAGTCCCGTGTAGCTCAGTTGGTAGAGCATGGTTCGTTTCCCACGGGGGACCAGTATTAAAAAATATATATATGTATGCACTCACTATAACTGTAAGTCGCTCTGGATAAGAGCGTGTGCTAAATGACAAAAAAACAAAAAAAATATGGTAGATTGGCTAGACGGAAGCCACTCCTCAGTAAAAGGCACATGACAGCCCGCTTGGAGTTTACCAAAAAGCACCTAAAGGACTCTCAGACCATGAGAAACAAGATTATCTGGTCTGATGAAACAAAGAAAGATGAACGGAGCAAAGTACAGAGAGATCCTTGATGAAAACCTGCTCCAGAGCTCTCAGAACCTCAGACTGGGGCGAAGGTTGACCTTCCAACAGGACAACGACCCTAAGCACACAGCCAAGACAACGCAGGAGTGGCTTCGGGACAAGTCTGAATGTCCTGGAGTGGCCCAGCCAGAGCCCGGACTTGAACCCGATCAAACATCTCTGGAGAGACCTGAAAATAGCTGTGCACCGATGCTCCCTATCCAACCTGACAGCACTTGAGAGGATCTGCAGAGAAACTCCCCAAATACACGTGTGCCAAGCTTGTAGCGCCATACCCAAGAAGACTTGAGGCTGTAATTGTTTATTTTTATTTTTAAATATTTTCTAACGTGTCTAAAAACCTGTTTTTGCTTTGCCATTATGGGGGATTGTGTGTAGATTGACGGGGGGGGAAACAATTTAATCCATTTTAGAATAAGGCTGTAACTTAACAAAGTGGAAAAAGTCAAGGGGTCTGAATTCCTTCCGAAAGCACAGTATATAATATAACCTGTGTGTGTAGTTGTTCCAGAGACCCAGTGCTCTAGCAGCCCAACAGCAGCAATATGCCTTGGCAGCAGCACAGCAATCTCACATTGGTAAGAGACAGAGACAGAGGGAGTGTGTGTTGTTGCTTTCTATGTTTTAGGTGAAAGACACGATACTCCACTGACCCATTTCTGGGCAGTTATTCAGTGACGAAAAGTTGTTCTTGGACTAGGTGTGTGTGTGTGTGTGTCTCTCTTAGGGCTGGCACAATTAGCATATAACAGTGTAACCGACGGTTATGGATGAAGACTGTCAGGAAAATAAAATAACAGTCATAACTGTTTTAAACATTAAAAAAAAAAAAATAGTGGGACGAACAGCCTGAAGACCTGGGCATTCGTGCGGTTGAGTCAGTTTTGGCCGTAACATGGACTCTTAACACTAGAACCGCCATAGGCCAACAGCCACTGACGTTTGATTTTGTAATAATAAAAAAAAAGATTGGCCTAAAAAAAAACCTATGTCCTGCTCCTTCCCTAACTTTTCCTAAATGTTTGTATTTTACACTGCTCATGTGTCCGAATTTTGAAATCACAAACGGAAAGTATTTAGCGCCTTTTTTACCTGTTATCACCCCTACTGCTAAGTTACCCCGCCAAGATAATGTGCTGTAGGACGTTGGTACCCCAGCCAGGCGCTAATGCATCTCTCTCTCCTCACTGAATCAATGACAAATGGATGAATGGGTGATAATTGTGCACCTTACTTCACAATGTAATTTAAATTAGGACTAAACTGAATGATAAGGAAGAGTAAAGAGGTAGATTTTTAATTTAAAAGACAATAGTTTAATGATGAGTTGAATGCCTATTTATCAGCAGCAAATCATTTGACCGCACGCCTTGGGGTTTGATACCATTCTCTTTTACATTTTACTTTGTAAAAAGAAGTGGTTATGGGACTGTTTTATTTACAATAACTCTATCACTAATCAAATGTATTGTAAGGGAAGGCCGTTAGAATAACGCAAAACATATCCTCGACTCTATCCAACTTGATGAGCAGGTAACAAACGATGCCAGTCAGCGTGCACAGCCGGCCCATCGAAACTACACCTAAACTATACCAAAACTAATTTCACACATAGTAAGAGTTAGCCTATAGACAATATTAAATTGACAGTCTGATGAGCATATTCTGCCGTTGCTATTACATTAACCTTTGTTAAATAACTCTCGTAATTCAAGATGTGCAGCTCTATTTCAAAATTTCACATTTTCAAAGAATATCCGTGCTGTGCAGGCATTCAGCACATGACCACTTGCTCTGGCTTCTAAGCAAAAACTAGTAATATAATAAACTTTAAAGTTAAAGCTATTCTGTCGTCAATGGATGAATGGCGGATGGAAAGCAGATTGAAACTGATAATGGTGCATGTGACTTCAATGAACTGAATGATGAAGAGTTTGATTGATCTGAATGATGAGGGTGAAGAGGGTTGAATTTAGAACAATGTGATGATGTAGATGAAGAATTGTGGATGAAAGGCTGGAATAATATAATAATAAATAATCTCCCCTCAGAGAGTCAAATCAGACACAGTGCATTCAGAAAGTATTCAGACCACTTTACTTTTTCCACATTTTGTTACGTTACAGCCTTGTTCTAAAATTGATTAAATTGTTATTTTATCCCCGTCATCAATCTACGCGCAATACCCCATAATGACAAAGCAAAAACTGGTTTTTTAGAAAGGTATGCTAATTAATTACAACAACTAAAAACTTAAATAGTATATTTACATAAGTATTCAGACCCTTAACTCAGTGTTGAAGCACCTTTGGCAGCGATTACAACCTTGAGTCTTCTTGGGTATGACGCTACAAGCTTGGCACACCTGTATTTTGGGAGTTTCTCCCATTCTTCTCTGCAGATCCTCTGAAGCTCTGTCAGGTTGGATGGGGAGCGTCGCTGCACAGCTATTTTCAGGTATCTCCAGAGATGTTCGATCGGGTTCAAGTCCGGGCTCTGGCTAGGCCACTCAAGGACATTCAGAGACTTGTCCCGAAGCCACTTCTGCGTTGTCCTGTTGGAAGGTGAACCTTCGCCCCAGTCTGAGGTCCTGAATGCTCTGGAGCAGGTTTTCATCAAGGATCTCTCTACTTTGCTCCGTTCATCTTTCCCTCTATCCTGACTAGTCTCCCAGTCCCTGCCGCTGAAAAACATCCCCACAGCATGATGCTGCCACCACCATGCTTCACCGTAGGGATGGTATTGGCCAGGTGATGAGCAGTACCTGGTTTCCTCCAGACGGGATGCTTGGCATTCAGGCCAAAAAGTTCAATCTTGATTTCATCAGACCAGAGAATCTTGTTTCTTTTGGTGCCTTTTGGCAAATTCCAAGCAGGCTGTCATGTGTCTTTTACTGAGGAGTGGCTTGCGTCTGGCCACTCTACCATAAAGGCCTGATTGGTTTAGTGCTGCAGAGATGGTTGTTCTTCTGGAAGGTTTTCCCATCTCCACAGAGGAACTCTGGCACGCTTTCAGAGTGACCATCAGGTTCTTGGTCACCTCCCTGACCAAGGGTCCTTCCCCTCAATTGCTCAGTTTGGCCGAGCGGCCAGCTCTGGGAAGTGTCTTGGTGGATCCAAACTTCTTCCATTTAAGAATGATGGAGGACACTGTGTTCTTGGGGACCTTCAACGCTGCAGAAATGTTTTGGTACCCTTCCCCAGATCTGTTCCTCGACACAATCCTGTCTCGGAGCTCTACGGACAATTCCTTCGACCTCATTGCTTAGTATTTGCTCTGACATGCACTGTCAACTGTGGGACCTTATATAGACAGGTGTGTGCCTTTCCAAATCATGTCCAATCCATTGAATTTACCACAGGCGGACTCCAATCAAGTTGTAGAAACATCTCAACAATGATGGAAACGGGATGCACCTGAGCTCAATTTCATGTCTCATAGCAAAGGGTCTGAATACTTACGTAAATATGGCCTTTCTGTTTTTATTTTTCATAAATTAGCAAAAATGTATAAAAACCTGTTTTTGCTTTGTCATTATGGGGTATTGTGTGTAGAAAAAGAATGTATTTAATCCATTTTAGAATCAGGCTGTAACGTAACAAAATGTGGGTCTGAATACATTCCCAATGCACTGTATGCTAAGGTGGATGCTCGTCAACGTTCTCTAGTGGGTACTTATATGCTGAAAGGCCAGGCGGTTTTAGTGTTAACACTGTGATGAAACCTTTGCTCCTTGCTGAATCATCAAGCAAATGAGTCTTCGGTTGCCTAGGCAACACCCCTCCCACAATGCAGCAGCACACATATAGAAATAGAATGAATAGAACATGCTTGGAAACCTAACACTGTTTGTTTGACTGGTAAACTCATGCTCCAGGGGAGAACGACTGTCCCCTCTCATTGAAGCAACGAAGTTCCAGGCCGACCGCGTTACTGCAGGCATTGTTAGCAGAAAACAGGATCCCCATTATAGTTAAGGGGAAAATGTCAATCTTCATGTTTAATTTTTTTAAAAAAAAAAGACTATCATGGCACCAATAATTAATTCCACTACACCAGATGTCCTTGAACCGATTTTATTTAAAAAATCACACACAGACGTTATAAGATCATTTAGTAGCTAATGGCAGCCTGCAGGACCCTGGGTGGCTTTCAACTTGAGTTACTCAATGAGAGGAGGCAGCAGTGTGCTAGCCTGCAACGTCACCTCTGGAGTAGCTCACACTGTGTTGATGTCTCCATGAGACGCCATCTTTAACCGCCTTCCAGGGCTTCAAATGCGTTATTGAGTCTTCACATGGGAATGAACGGTGTCACGTGAACGATGGCTTTGTCAGTATACAGTAATTGGTACACTCACAGTGGCTGCCCGGTATTGTGATGCAATAATTTCCATGGTAATGTAAAATGTTCATTCAAATGATGTTAACTGATGTGGCTCATGCAATTCAATTATTTATTTTTTTGTCAGTTGAGCCGAATCAGCAAATCATTGCACATATTTTAACACATATTTTACTTCCTGCATTGTTCCTGTGGGTACACTTGCAATGGCCGCCAGTCCACCCATTATGCCACCATTGTCATGAATGGGGATGGCTGTTGTATTCATTCTCTTTCTATGGCAGCACGTGTAGTCAGGAGCGGAGGAGAGGAGAAAATGTGTTTGTTTTTTTTCTGGCCAGTTACGTCAACCAAAATTCCATGACTGTTACAGCCCTAGTCTCTCTTTCTCTCTGACCTTTTTATTTCTTTGTGTGTTTTCAGGTTTGGCTCAAGCGTTTGTTCCCAACCCTTACATCATCAGTACCGGTCCGCCTGGAACGGACCCCTACGCTGCTGGACTGGCAGCTGCTGCAACTCTGGGTAAGACACGCACACTCTCCTGCCATTTTTTAACATTTCATATCCAGCGGTGATGCCTCCCCAGTACTATGGTAACATAATGACAGTCCAGCGTGCAGACATTTTACATTTACATTTACATTTACGTCATTTAGCAGACGCTCTTATCCAGAGCGACTTACAGTTAGTGCATACATTATTCTTCTTTTTTTTTTTCATACCCCATGGGAAAACGAACCCACAAACCTAGCGTTGCAAACGCCATGCTCTACCAACTGAGCTACCTCCCTGCGGCCATTCCACCCCTACAATAGGGTGGTCCCAGGAATCTAACCGACTGTCTTGGCGTTGCAACCACCATCCTATACCAACAAACTTAGTGTGTGTGTGTGTGTGTGTGTTCAGGCCCAGCAGTGATGCCTCCCCAGTACTACGGGGTCACTCCCTGGGGAGTGTATCCAGCCAATCTGTTCCAGCAACAGGCTACAGCTGCCAACAACTCAGCCAATCAACAGGCTCAAGGACAGAACCAGCAGAACCAACAACAGGTCAGTGGCTTCCTATTGGCTAGACCTCTCCTCGTTAGATAAAGCTACTGTCAGACATTTTAGCTTCAGTGCTCACCGCTTTGTGGTTGTAGGATTACTACAAGCCACCCCCCCCAGAGAAAGTATTTATGCAATCATGCACATTATTTTGTGCAATGTCACGTTGTCATTTTACTAAGGACCTTGTGGAGTACAACCAGCCCTCCCGCTCCTCAGCGTTTCCCATTGGCTCAGTCTCAGACCCTCTGCCCTCCTATTGGCGAACCTTTTTTGTAACCCCAGGTGATGCGTGGGGGCGGTAACCAGCGACCCCTGACCCCTAGCCAAGGTCAACAGGGTCAGCAGAACGACCAGCTGATCTCCGCCGCAGCAGTCAACTCAGCGCTCGCCTTCGGACAGGGGCTGGCTGCCGGCGTGCCTGGTGAGCAAGATACTTACTTACACACACTCACACACACATGCACACACACACCGATTAACCCATGAGTTCCTCTCTACAGGCTATCCCATGCTGGCTCCAGCTGCTTACTATGACCAGACAGGGGCGCTAGTGGTCAACACAGGATCTAGGGGCGGACCCGTACGCCTCATGGCACCCGCGGGGTCTGTTATTATCTCTCCATCCGCTGCACAAGCAGGTAACTCACTTCTCCTTTTACACTATCTCTCCATCTGTCACTCAATCACCCTAATACATTATCTCTCCATCACTTGTATCAGCCCACCAGACTCTCTCACTTATGATGCTTTATTTATGTCTCTCTCTCTACCCCTCTCTCTCTACCCCTCTCTCTACCTACCCCTCTCTCTGCAACCCCGTCTCTACTCTCCCCTCTCTCTCTACCCCCTCTACCCTACCCCCCTCTACTCTCTACCCCCCCTCTCCACCTACTACCAACCCCCTCTCTCTCAACACCCACCTCTCCTACCCCCACCCTCTCTCTAACCCCCTCTCTCTCTACCCCCCTCTCTCTCACCCCCTCTCTCTCTACCCCCTCTTCTCTACCCCCTCTCTCTATCCCTACTCTCTCTCTACCCCCTCTTCCTCACTCCTCTCGCTCTACTCTTCGACTCTCTCCCCTTCTCTCTCTACCCTCTCTCTCTCACCCCCTCTCTCTACGCCTCACTCTCTCTCTCTCTACCCCCTCTCTCTCTACCCCCTCTCTCTCTACCCCTCTCTCTCTACCCTCTCTCTCTCTCTCCAGTGGCGGCTGCAGCAGCTGCGGGTGGTGGGGCTAACGGCGGTATGGGAGGCGGGGCCAATGGTCCGTTCCGAGCCATGCAATCCCAGCAGCCTCAGCAGCAGGGGGGAGGGGCTATGTCAGGAAACTCTTTTTATGGATCCCTCTCTTAGCAACTCCTCTCAGAGCTCCTCCCTCTTCTCTCAAGGTAGCCAATCAATGTACTGTGAGTGAAAAACAAAACGGGTGAATTGGCAGAGGTCGGTTCCAGGCCGACTACATTGGAGACGTTGCATTGCATCAGCCAATGGTAGCATGCAGCGTCATAGACTGTGCAGTCGGGCATCAGATTCCTATATCATGTGGTAGTTCATATGTCAAAAACCTGTCTAGGCATTGTGAGATCTGGCAGGTGTCTGTAATGTAGTCAGCCTGGAACGTGACCAAAATGTGTGTTTAAAAAAAAAAAAAAATGCTTTCGTTTTACCATTTTAAAATTCAGTGACAAATTTAGATTAACAAAGGTGATTGGTTGTTTTCTCTAAAGGCTCCGCCCAGCCGGGCCCTGGCTCCGCCTCTCTGGGTTTTGGTCAGAGCAGCTCTTCACTCGGTGCAACACTGGGAGCTACGTTGGGCGGCTTTGGTACTGCAGGTGTGTATGTGTGGTGGTTTGTGCAACCCCAAGGCTCAGTAGACTTAAGAATGGAGAGCAGGGATGGGCACGGTTATTAGAGTATTCGAACGGACGTTAGTATTCAATTACTTGCGAGAATATTCGTTTTTTGAAAAATAAAATAAATGCTTATTTTAATGAGGGCTTTGTCTAAAATGTAATTATCTGTGAGATTTGTACATACAGGGATAAACCATGACATTAGAAATGTTAATAAAACAACAGATTTATGGCCGTTTTTATGGGTGCACCCCATTTAAAAAAAAGACTGGTAGCCCTACACACTTTTCACCTGTGTAGCTTGTTATTGTCGGTCAATCAAAGCAGCACTACCGTCAGAGGCTTCATGTGTAGCAAGTGAAGTAGAAATCAAATCAAATGGTATTAGTCACATGCTTCGTAAACAACAGGTGTAGACAAACAGTGAAACGCTTACTCCCTTACTTCCCAACAATACAGAGAAAAATAATGAGACAGGGAATATAGATACACAATGGGTAAGGATAACTTGGATATATACACGGGGTACCAGTACCAAGTCAATATGCAGGGGTACCAGTACCAAGTCGATATGCAGGGGTACCAGTACTGAGTCCATGTGCAGGGGTACCAGTACTGAGTCCATGTACAGGGTTTACGAGGTAATTGAGGTGGATATGTACATATTGGCAGGGATAAAGTGACTAGGCAACAGGATAGATAATAAACAGTAACAGCAGCGAATGTGATGAGTTAAAAGAGTTAGTGCAAAAAGGGTCAAATGCAGATAGTCCGGGTAGCTATTGTTTAACTATTTAACTATTTAGCAGTCTCATGGCTTGGGGGTAGAAGCTCTTCAGGGTCCTGTTGGTTCCAGACTTGGTGCATAGGTACTGCTTGCCATGTGGTAGCAGAGAGAACAGTCTGACTTGGTGGCTGGAGTCCTTGATCATTTTTAGGGTCATCCTCTGACACCGCCTGGTATAGAGGTACTGGATGATGTACTGGATGATGTACTGGATGATGTACTGGGCCGTCTGCACTACCCTCTGTAGAGCTTTGCAGTCGGATGCCAAGCAGTTGCCATACCAAGTGGTGATGCAGCCAATCACTGTATAATTTTTGGATGATCTGAGGGCCCATGCCAAATCTTTTCAGCCTCTTGAGGGGGAAGAAGCGTTGGACCAAGATAATTCCTTAGTGATGTTGACACAGAAGAACTTGACGCTCTCGACCTGCTCCACTACAGCCCCATCGATGTTGATTGGGGGCGGGCTCGGCCCACCGTTTCCTGTAGTCCATGATCAGCTCCTTTGTCTTGCTGACGTTGAAGGGAGAGGTTGTTTTCCTGGCACCACACTGCCAGGTCTCTGACCTCCTCCCTATAGGCTGTTTCATCTGTGATCAGGCCTACCACCGTTGTGTCGTCTGCAAACTTAATGATGGTGTTGGACTCGTGCGCGGCCACGCAGTCGTGGGAGAACAGGGAGTGCAGGAGGGGACTAAGCACGCACCCCTGAAGGGCCGCCATGTTGAGGGTCAGCGTGGCGGATCCTGGGGGCGGCCCGTCCAGGATCCAGTTGCAGGTGTTTAATCCCAGGGTCCTTAGCTTAGTGATGAGGGCACTGGTGTTGAACGCTGAGCTGTAGTCAATGAACAGCATTCTCACGTAGGTGTTCCTTTTGTCCAGGTGGGAAAGGGCAGTGTGGAGAGTACAAGATATTGCGTCATCTATGGATCTGTTTGGGCGGTATGCAAATTGCAGTGGGTCCAGGGTGTCTGGGATGATGGTGTTGACGTGTGCCATGACCAGCCTTTCAAAGCATTTCATGGCTACAGATGTGGGTGCTACGGGGCGATAGTCATTTAGACAGGTTACCTTGGCATTCTTGGGCACAGGGACTATGGTGGTCTGCTTGAAACATGTAGGTATTACAGACTAGGTCAGGGAGAGGTTGAAAATGTCAGTGAAGACACTTGCCAGCTGCTCAGCGCATGCTTTGAGTACACGTCCTGGTAATCCGTCTTGCCCTGCAGCCTTGTGAATGTTAACCTGTTTAAAGGTCTTACCCACATCGGCTACGAAGAGCGTGATCACACAGTCGTCCGGAATAGCTGGTGCTCTCATGCATGGTTCAGTGTTGCTAGCCTCGGAGCAAGCATAGAATGTATTTATCTCGTCTGGTAATCTGTTATAGTTTGCAAGCCCTGCCACATCCAATGAGCATCAGAGCCGGTGTAGTACGATTCGATCTTCGTCCTGTATTGACACTTTGCGTGTTTAATGGTTATTTGGTGGTTGTAGCGGGATTTCTTATAAGCGTCCGGATTAGTGTCCCGCTCCTTGAAATCGGCAGCTCTAGCCTTTAGCTCAGTGCAGATGTTGCCTGTAATCCATAGCTTCTGGTTGGGATATGTACGTACGGTCACTGTGGTGAATACGTTGTTGATGCACCTATTAATGAGCCAGTGACTGATGTGGTAAACTCCTCAATGCCATTGGATGAATCCCAGAACATATTCCAGTCTATGCTAGTGAAACAGTTCTGTAGCTTAGCATCCGCTTCATCTGACCACTTCCGTATTGAGCGCGTCACTGGTACTTCCTGTTTGAGTTTTTGCTTGTAAGCAGGAATCAACAGGATAGAGTTATGGTCAGATTTGCGAAAGGGAGGGAGAGCTTTTTATGCATCTGTGTGTGGAGTAAAGGTGATCTAGAGTTTTTTCGCCTCATGCTGGTAGAAATACGGTAAAACGGATTTCAGTTTTCCTGCATTAAAGTCACTGGCCATTAGGAGCGCCGCTGGGTGTGTATTTTCTTATTTTCTTATGACCTATACAGCTCGTTGAGTATGGTCTTAGTGCCAGCATCGATTTGTGGTGGTAAATAGACAGCTACTAAAAATATCGATCAAAACTCTCTTTTTAAATATTATGGTCTACAGCTTATCATGAGGTATTCTAACACAGGTGAACAGAACCTCAAGACCTCCTAATATTAGAGATTGCACACCAGCTGTTGTTAACAAAGAGAGACACCCCCTCCCCTGAGCTTCCCCGATGTTGCCGATCTGTCATGCCGAAAGATAAACCAGCTAGATTTATATTTACAATGTACTCGTTCAGTCACAACTCTGAGAAACATAGGATATTACAGTTCTTCAGATCAGTCTCGAACGGAGCTCATCCAGTTTATTCTCCAGTGATTGCACGTTCACCAATAGAATGGAGGGTAGAGGCGATTTTTTTGTCCACTCTCTGACGTAGTCTTGTCAGGTATCCCAAACGCTAGCCTCTATTGCACCGTCTCCTCCTCCTTCGAGTGTCGGGGATTTGTGCCTGGTCTGGAATAATACATGTATTTATCCTCCGACTCATTGAAGTAGAAGTCCTCTTTTCAAATCAAGGTTAGTGATCACTGTTCTGATGTCCAGAAGCTCTTTTCGGTCATACGAAACAATGGCAGAAACATTATGTACAAAATAAGTTAAGATCATCGCAATAAAAAATACACAAAATAGCACAATTGGTCAGGAGCCCGTAAAACAAACGCTATTCCCTCCAGTGCCTTTCTTCACCATTGATTTCTAATCGATGCAAAATGGAATTACAATTACGAAATTAAGTTGGCTAACTGAGGAGTAGGCTACAATGATCAACCAACAGGTAGACTGTTGTTTAATATGGAGTTGTTTTAGACAAGGTCGCGGGGAGCACAGCAAAATAGCCTGAATTAGCCTTGCTAGCTAGCTGGCTAACTAACTTAACTGGCTAGTGTAGCTAGCTAGCTGGCTAACTAACTTAGCAGTCTAGTGTAGCTAGCTATCTTTACAGCCTTATTCTAAAATGGATGAAAAACTTTTTTTTTCTCATCAATCTACACACAATACCCCATAATGACAAATTAAAACAAGTTTTTTTATACATTTTTCTTAATGTAATTACAAAGTAACAGAAACCAGCTAAAAAAAACAGCTAGTATGCAGGGTGTAGAAGCATCCTAGAAAAACTCCTAGGGAAAACCTAGGAGAAACCTAGAGAGAAACCAGTTGAGGGTGGGCCCACACCTGGCTTGCCGGGGGAGATTATAACAGAGATGCCAATGTCAAAAATGTGTGACAAGCTGGTCAATAATAATCAGGATAAATCCAGTTGGTTTTCAACAAACCTGAAAACAGGTTCTGACATTTTGTTAATGTATTCAAAGAAAATTTTTTTACTAAATTTCAGACTGTTTCTATAGATCTGTTTGTTCATTGTCATCCTGTTATGTAAATTGATTGACTGTAAATTTCAATAGGACATGATTTGAAGAACAAATTTATGTGGAGGAAATGCGAGAGAATGGGAGAATTCCCTGAAGGTGTATGTGATTTAGCGTCAAACCCAATAGAAGACCAAGCAATGCAAGGTGTTTACTGTATATATGGTAGGTTGAATACTTATGTATGTGTCATTTAGTAGTGCTGTATAGTATAAAATGTGGATACGTCTAAGGGTTCTGAATATTCTGAATGCACTGTAGTGTGAAGCCGTCTGCCGCCAACTAGTACGCTGGTGTTTTTGACGCAGATATACCTTAAAATGATAGTCAGCTTCGTGGTGAAGGGTGTTTACAAGAACTGGGTTATGTAGTTCCTACTCGGGCTTCTAATTTGTGTTAATACCTGGTATAGATCGTATACTACAACGTGTGGTGTGTGTGTATAAATACATATATGTATATGTGTATAAATACATATATGTATATGTGTATAAATGTGTATATACATATGTATGTATGTGTGTGTATATATATGTGTGTGTTAATGGTCTCTCTGTTTCTCTCCAGTGGCTAACTCCAGCGGTGGCAGCAGTTCTCGTCGTGACTCTCTGACCGGCAGTAGTGACCTGTACAAACGCACGCAGTCCAGCCTCACTCCCATTGGCCACGGGGGGTTCTACAACGGAACCCTGGGCTTTAGCTCCTCCCCCGGGCCGGTCGGAATGCCCCTGCCCAACCAAGGCCCCTCCCACTCCCTAACTCCACCCCCCTCTCTGTCCAATCACAGCTCCTCATCCAACCTCAACCTGGGTGAGTGACAAGGTCTATTGTTACCATGCTGACATAAAACTTGCCGTGTATTTTTGGGGGTTATAACATTTTATCATCGTTATTATTATTATGTTGTCCAATCAGCACTAACCATCCCTCCTCTGAACCCTTCCACAGGAGGTCTGACCAATGGCAGCGGTCGTTTCATCTCTGCTGCTCCAGGGGCGGAGGCGAAGTATCGCAGCGCGAGTTCTGGCTCCTCCCTCTTCTCTCCCAGCAGCCAGCTCTTCCCGTCGTCACGGCTACGCTACGGAATGTCGGACATGATGCCGTCAGGGCGGAGCCGGCTCCTGGAAGACTTCCGGAACAACCGCTACCCCAACCTGCAGCTGAGAGAGATCGCTGGGCACATCATGGAGTTCAGCCAGGACCAGCATGGCAGCAGGTAGAGACACACACACACATCATGGAGTTCAGACAGGACCAGCATGGCAGCAGGTAGAGACACACACACACATCATGGAGTTCAGCCAGGACCAGCATGGCAGCAGGTAGAGAGACGTAAAGACACACATCATGGAGTTCAGCCAGGACCAGCATGGCAGCAGGTAGAGAGACGTGACACACACATCATGGAGTTCAGCCAGGACCAGCACGGCAGCAGGTAGAGAGACGTGAGACACACATCATGAGTTCAGCAGGACCAGCATGGCAGAGGTAGAGAGACGTAGACACACACATCATGGAGTTCAGCCAGGACCAGCATGGCAGCAGGTAAGAGACGTAGGACACACAACATCATGGAGTTCAGCCAGGACCAGCATGGCGAGCAGGTAGAGAGACGTAGGACACACACAATCATGGAGTTCAGCCAGGACCAGCATGGCAGCAGTAGAGAGACGTAAGACAACAACACATCATGGAGTTCAGCCAGGACCAGCATGGCAGCAGTAGAGAGACGTAGACACCACAACATCATGGAGTTCAGACCAGGACCAGCATGGCAAGCAGGTTTCGGAGACATAAAGACCACACACACCAATCATGGAAGTTTCAGCCAGGACCAGCACTGGCAGGGGTAGAGGACGTAGACACACACACACAATCATGGAGTTCAGCAGACCAGCATGGCAGCAGGTAGAGAGACGGGACACCCACACACATCATGGAGTTTCAAGCCAGGTGACCAGCACGGCAGCAGGTAGGAGAGACGTAAAGGACACACACACACATCATGGGTTCAGCCAGGACCAAGCACGGCAAGCAGGTAGAGGAGACGTAAAGACACCACACACACATCATGGAGTTCAGCCCAGGACCAGCATGGCAGCAGGTAGTAGAGGACGTAGAGATCCACACACACATCATGGAGTTCAAGCCAAGGACCAGCATGGCAGCAAGGTAGAGGACGTAGAGACACCACACAAATCATTGGAGTTCAGCCAGGACCAGCATGGCAGCAGGTAGAGAGACGTAGACACACACACATCATGGAGTTCAGCCAGGACCAGCATGGCAGCAGGTAGAGAGACGTAGAGACACACATCATGGAGTTCAGCCAGGACCAGCATGGCAGCAGGTAGAGAGACGTAGAGACACACACACATCATGGAGTTCAGCCAGGACCAGCATGGCAGCAGGTAGAGAGACGTAGAGACACACATCATGGAGTTCAGCCAGGACCAGCATGGCAGCAGGTAGAGAGACGTAGAGACACACATCATGGAGTTCAGCCAGGACCAGCACGGCTCGCTCGCTCTCTCATCTCATTGGTTGGTGAGTGGACCCCCCCCCCAAGCCTTGCTGCCACTCACAACCATAAAGGGCAATGGGTTCTATAACTGCTAAAAGTATTTTTAGCCAGATCCTAGTTGGGATGTCATGTTTTATGTTCCTTTTGATGGCGCAGAAGGCCCTTCTTGCCTTGTCTCTTAGATATTTCTCTCTCTCTCTCTCTCTCATCTCTCTCTACATCCCTATGTGGTAAATAGAAGAACATTAATCGAGGAGTGTTGTGAATCTCCAGGTTTATCCAGTTGAAGTTGGAGAGGGCCAGCTCAGCAGAGCGTCAGCTGGTCTTTAGTGAGATCCTCCAGGCTGCCTACCAACTCATGGTCGACGTCTTCGGAAACTATGTCATCCAGAAGTTCTTTGAGGTGTGTGTACACTGAGGATACCGGACATTAAGAACATCTTCCAAATATTTGGGGGGGGGTATTTACGTTGTTGTTTTTTGCCAGGTACTTTCTCCAGAAGTTCTTTGAGTTGTCTGATTTGTAACAGGCCTGTCTCTCTGTGTGTAACATTGGTTGTGTGTTTTGCTACATCATCATCTAAAAGTGTGTTAACTGGTCTCTCTCTCTCTCCCTCTCCATCTGTCTCTCGCTCTGTCCCTCCCTCTCTCTCTCTCTCTCTCTCTCTCTCTGTCTCTCTCTCTCTGTCTCTCTCTCTGTCTCTCGCTCTGTCCCTCGCTCTGTCCCTCCCTCTCTCTCTGTCTCTCTCTCGCTCTGTCTCTCGCTCTGTCCCTCTCTCTCTCTGTGTCTGTCTCTCTGCGTCTGTCTCTCTCTGTCTCTCTGTGTCTCTGTCTCTCTGTGTGTGTAGTTTGGCAGTGTGGACCAGAAGCTGGCTGTAGCTGAGAGGATCCGGGGTCATGTCCTGTCTCTGGCCCTACAGATGTACGGCTGTAGAGTCATACAGAAGGCACTGGAGTTCATCCCCTCAGACCAACAAGTTATAGTATGTATTCAACTGCCGTGTGTGTGTACGTACGTGCGCACGCACGCACATTGTCCATGTCTGTGTATGAGAAGCCTCAAAGCGAAGGCCAACTGGAGACTGTTTGTGTGAATATGAACAGTAATTGAGGTGCGTGTTGACTCCTGCTACAGTAGCTTTAAATGACTTGCAGCTTGTAAAGAGGGCGGCAGGTAGCTTAGTGGATAAGAGCGTTGTGCCAGTAACCGAAAGGTCGCTGGTTCTAATCCCCGAGCCGACTAGGTGAAAAATCTGTCGATGTGCCCTTGAGCAAGGCACTTAACCCTAATTGCTCCTGTAAGTCGCTCTGGATAAGAGCGTCTGCTAAATGACTAAAATGTCAAATGTAGCCGCTAGCTGTTGTTTTAAGAGGATAAAAAGGCTTGTAAGTGTCCGACTGTTACTCCTGATTATTACAAAATAAGCACTCATAGAACCACAAGGCCAGACATCTCAAGGGTCACATTAACTCAGAATTCTTTGTTTGATCACGCAGAAGAAAAAAGGTAAAACGCATAAGATACACTAAAATGCTTCTTATTGTAATTTCTGCTCGGCATCAGACTAATTTTCTGCTTCAGTTGCATTTCTCCACTCTGATGACAATTCAGGAACGGGCGTTCTATCAGCAGACAGCGCTCTGATGCGTAGCCTACTTTTCTCTGGTACTTTTCTCTGGTACTTTTCTCTGGTACTTTTCTCTGGTACTTTTCTCTGGTACTTTTCTCTGGTACTTTTATCTGGTACTTTTCTCTGTGTAGCCTACTTTTCTCTGGTACTTTTCTCTGGTACTTTTCTCTGGTACTTTTCTCTGGTACTTTTATCTGGTACTTTTCTCTGGTACTTTTCTCTGGTACTTTTCTCTGGTACTTTTCTCTGTGTAGCCTACTTTTCTCCAGTAAAATGCAAGATTAACTTTAAGCAAAACATTAGAAATATGATGGCCATGCATCGTTTTTGCAAAAAAAAATACCTTGCTATTTCATTGTAAGCTCATTTAACCTACTTGTGTGACTGCCAGCCAAATAGCGTTGCACTTCTGTTGTCATCTGATGAAAATGAAGCTATTTTCTGCCGAACGTGTTGCACTAATGTATTTTCTGTGAAGGAAAACTATAGATGCACATCCCTGATCACTCTAATGAAGCAAAAAAAGACTTGACTTTTAATATGAAATGTAGGTGAAATGGTTTAAAATGCAGATTTTTTTTGATGGTCTGCGTTTAGAAAATGCAGATATCTGACCTCAAAAGTATTTGGTGTATCTCTGTGTGTGTGTAACCATGTGTTTGTGAAACCCTGTGCGTTTGTGTGTTTATCTCTAACCCTGTGTGTGTGTGTGTTGCAGAGTGAGATGGTACGGGAGCTGGACGGCCATGTGTTGAAGTGTGTGAAGGATCAGAACGGGAACCACGTGGTGCAGAAGTGTATCGAGTGTGTTCAACCCCACGCACTACACTTCATCATAGACGCCTTCAAGGGACAGGTGGGTGACACACACACTCCACCATACACACACACACACTCCACCATACACACACACACTCCACCATACACACACACTCCACCATACACACACACACACACACCACCATACACACACACACACACACACCATCATCATCATCTCCCACAGGGGACAGGTGGGTCACCATGGTAATGGAAACAGCAGCGCAGCGGCAGCCATCTTCTATCCACTGACTAAATGTCAACATTAGCATAAAGCTTGTGTTTTTTAAAGAGGGAGCTAATGCACTATAAATGGTTATTTTAGCATACACAAAGATTGTCTGTATGTCAGTCACATTTGATTGGGCTCTTGGATTTTTACAATGGTACCAATTTCCACACATGTTTTCCCTGTGTTTTTCATTCCTACCCATCAGATAGTCAGTTGTGTAAATGTTAGTGATTGTTTGTCTAGCTGGTTAGGTAGGTTATCAGGAATGGACTTTCATCTGTCTTTCACTGGTGTGCGTGTGTGTGTGGGCGGGCACCGGGTGTGTTTTTGTGTGTGTGTGGGAGCCGGGTGTGTGAATGAGTGAACAAAGGTTTAAGGTGTAGGTGTGTGTGTCCGCAGGTGTATAACGTGTGTGTGTGTGTGTGTGTGTCTCTGTGCAGGTGTTTGCCCTCTCCACCCACCCCTACGGTTGTAGAGTGATCCAGCGTATTCTAGAACACTGCCTTCCAGACCAGACCCTGTCCATTCTGGAGGAGCTGCACCAACACACAGAACAACTGGTGCAGGTAAAAAAAAAAAAACGCTGCCGGTTTGACCGGTCATTTTGTTGCAAAACTGTTGTTAAAAATGCATCTGCTGGTGTCAAGATGAGGACATTGTCATCACACTGACATTCTGGATTGTGGTTTTGGCTGAAAACTGCTAGAGCTTGAAACTTGTTGAAACAAGTGTTCGGCCTTGCCAAGTAGCTAACGTAAATGCTCAGCCTTGCCAAGTAGCTAACGTAAATTGCTCAGCCCTTGCCAAGGTCGCTAACGTAAATGCTCAGGCCTTGCCAAGTAGCTAACGTAAATGCTCAGCTTGCCAAGTAGCTAACGTAAATGCTCAGCCTTGCCAAGTAGCTAACGTAAATGCTCGGCCTTGCCAAGTAGCTAACGTAAATGCTCGGCCTTGCCAAGTAGCTAACGTAAATGCTCAGCCTTGCCAAGTAGCTAACGTAAATGCTCAGCCTTGCCAAGTAGCTAACGTAAATGCTCAGCCTTGCCAAGTAGCTAACGTAAATGCTCAGCCTTGCCAAGTAGCTAACGTAAATGCTCAGCCTTGCCAAGTAGCTAACGTAAATGCTCAGCCTTGCCAAGTAGCTAACGTAAATGCTCAGCCTTGCCAAGTAGCTAACGTAAATGCTCAGCCTTGCCAAGTAGCTAACGTAAATGCTCAGCCTTGCCAAGTAGCTAACGTAAATGCTCAGCCTTGCCAAGTAGCTAACGTAAATGCAAAACTCTGCTCTTTCTCTCTCCTCTCCTTCTCTTTCTCTCTCTGCCAGGACCAGTATGGTAACTATGTGATCCAGCATGTGTTGGAACACGGCAGAGCGGAGGATAAGAGCAAGATAGTAGCTGAGATCAGAGGAAACGTGCTGGGGCTCAGCCAACACAAGTTCGCCAGGTACACACACACACACACACACACACATCAATTAATCACGTTGATTTATAAACCATGTTGACATCTTCGGTTGTCACAAAGTTACAGTCAACCTGTTGTAGCAGTGTACTAACCAACCTCCTCTCTCTCTGCAGTAACGTGGTGGAGAAGTGTGTGAGCCATGCGTCGCGTGCGGAGCGGGCCGTGTTGATAGACGAGGTGTGTATCCTGACGGAGGGGCCCCACAGCGCCTTGTACACCATGATGAAGGACCAGTACGCCAACTACGTGGTGCAGAAAATGATTGACGTGGCCGAACCCACACAGAGAAAGATCGTCATGCACAAGGTAGGTGTGAAGTAGTTTGAGTGAGTGTTTTGAGGTAGTTTGAGTGAGTGTTTGAAGTAGTTTGAGTGAGTGAAATTATTTTTTATTTGTATTTAACCTTTATTTTATAACAGAGAAGACATATTGAGATCTAGGTCTCTTTTACAAATGCACCCAAACTACACTGAACATAAATAAACGCAACGTGTAAAGTGTGTTGGTCCCGTGTTTCATGAGCTGAAATAAAAGACCCCAGAAATGTTCCATACGCACAAAAAGCTTATTTCTCTCAAATTTTGTGTACACATTTGTTTACATCCCTGTTAGAGAGCATTTCTCATTTGCCAAGATAATCCATCCACCTGACAGGTGTGGCATATCAAGAAGCTGATTAAACAGCATGATCATTAAAACAGTTGCACCTTCTGCTGGGGACAATAAAAGGCCACTCTAAAATAATATGTGTTGTTTTATCACATAACACAATGCCACAGATGTCTCAAGTTTTGAGGGAGTGTGCAATTGGCATGCTGACTGCAGAAATGTCCACCAGAGCTGTTGCCAGAGAATGTAATGTTAATTTCTCTACCATAAACCGCCTCCAACGTCGTTTTAGAGAATTTGGCAGTACGTCCAACCGGCCTCATAACCGCAGACCACGTGTATGGCAATGTGTGGGCGAGCGGTTTGCTGACGACAACGTTGTGAACAGAGTGCCCCATGGTGGGGTTATGGTATGGGCAGGCATAAGCTACGGACAACAAGCACAATTGCATTTTATCGATGGCAATTTGAATGCACAGATACCGTGACGAGATCCTGAGGCCCATTGTCGTGCCATCCATCCACCGGCATCGCCTCATGTTTCAGCATAATAATGCACGACCCCATGTCACAAGGATCTGTACACAATTCCTGGAAGCTGAAAATGTCCCAGTTCTTCCATGGCCCGCATACTCACCAGGCATGTCACCCATTGAGCATGTTTGGGATGCTCTGTCAGCATCCAGCCCAATATCATTGTGAATAGGCATAGAACTTGTGGCAGAGAGGAGAAAGTAGAACCCTTAAGGGATTTGACCGTTTTCCTGAATTAACCGTGTTCCCATTACAATCGGTTACATAATAATCAGATTTAGCCTTTCAGATTTGTTTTACACAATGATTCCTCAGTTGCTTAAAAGCTTTCCATCTACCTTTTTAACCCTTCATTTTTAGGGCCCAGAGTTTGTCATGTTGAGAAGAAAGAGGTGGATATTGCATGAGTGTCTGCAATTGGGTGTCCTTAACCTTCTTTTTTAGGGAGCAGAGCTTCTCTGTGAGAGAGGGAAGAAGTGAATAGAAAGAGTCCATTGGGGTCTATCTCTCTCTCTCTCTCCCTCTTTCCCCCCGTCTCTCCTCTCCCTCTCCCTCTCCCTCTCCCTCTCTCTCTGTCTGTCTGTCTCTCTCTGTCTCTCTCCGTCTCCGTCTCTCTCTCTCTCTCTCTCTCTCTCTCTCTCTCTCTGGCCAACCTCACCCCTCAGATCCGGCCCCACATCTCCACTCTGAGGAAATATACGTATGGCAAACACATCCTGGCAAAGCTGGAGAAATACTACATGAAGAATGGAGTGGACTTGGGTCCTCTCTGTGGCCCTCCCAACGGCATCATGTAAACTACTACCCTTCCAACCCCTTGTTCACTACACCTTAACCCTTAGGGACAAGACAGAGCAACAGGAACGTCGGCCGTGCTCAGTAGATCACCGGCTGAGTGTGGAGGAACGGTGGGTGATTCTACATGTAGGACGGCCACCCTCTGTGCGCAGCTGAAGTTGTGTTGGAATGTCATGTATTTTTATATCATAAGCCCTAGCCTATATAACCTACATGAAAAATGACATCATGTTAACTACTACCCCATTATATCCCACACCCTACCACCCTATACCCCCACCCCCTCTATTCCCCTCTTAATGAGATAATGTAAACTACTGCCCTACCCACAATGACATCATGTAGAACCCTCTTTACCTACTCCAACCCCCCTCCTTTTCCCCTCCCACTCTTATCGCCACGGTAACCCATTGGTAGGAGCCTGTGTCTGAACAGGAAGGAAGCCTTGGTTAGTTTAGAGGGGGGGGGGGTGAGATGCGTCCCGACCCTCCGTTACTTCTCCCCCTTTTTTTCTTTTTTCTTTATTCGTCTTTTGAATAAACTAGAATCATTTCACTTTTTTTTTTTTTGCTACTGCTGTGGCATACACAGTTCTATGTCATATCGCTATTATGGGATGGAACAAACGTATTTAATTTGACTGACGTCGTCACCGAATCATAGTCACAAACAGACACAAGCCATGCGCTTACCAGCAGATCATTTAGCATGGGAGATTAGTTTCCGGTCCTGCTTCCATCTCTCTCTCTCTATATATATGTGTGTATATATATATATATATAGAGTGTATACTTGGTGTAGACCTTTGCATATATATATATAAAAAACTTTGTAGTTTTTCTGGTTTTTGCTGTTGACTATCTATAATGTATCCTAGTAGTGAACACATATTTCTGACTGTATAATTGTACATTTGTAAACCCTTGTAATGTAAAAGTGATTTACAACCGTTTTTGGTATCGGACGATATAAAAAAAAAAAAAAAAAAAATTCTTCTAAAAAATTCTTCCAAAAGCTCTTGTGCATTTCAGTGTATATTCTCACATCCTTCGTTGTGACATGAGTTGTTGTATATTGTAAATTGTAATATCAAATTTTTTGTTTTGAAAAGCCCTTTCTATACTGCGTAGTACTTGTACAAAGCCCTCAACCCCCCTCACCCTCTGGTTTTAACTTCTACTCACTGCTTCAACAGAACTCACCTCCTCCCTGACCCCCGAACTACAGTGCAAACGCTGCGTGTCCGTTTACTAAACGTCCAGTAGCCACAGTTGAAACAAATCCACTGAAATCAACGAGACGTGGTTCACCAACATGTCAGTAGTGAAGCAAGTCTTTTTACACTTCAAGTCTATTTAAAATGCAGAGAGAGAGAGAGAGACGTGGCGTCTGACTGAAGCATAAACAACTGATAAAAGTGACTTTGGTTTCCGCCTGTGCTGTAGCAGTCAAAACATTATTATTACAGAACACGCAAGATGTTTGTAGTATAGTTTGGGGGTTGTAACCGCCACCACAGGACACACTGTTTGTAGTCATGTCTGCTTTAACTTGAAGCTTTATTTGTTTGTTTTTTTAGATCTTTTATAGGAATGCTTTCCCCCTGTCTAAGGTTAGTGGATGGGGTGAGGGGGTTTGAGTTTAAAGGTAGACTCAGTGATATGACATCGTACACACCGGGGCAACTTCCGGCTTGCAGACATCAACAACGGCCTATTTCAAATCTGCCAAGACTACCACTATTGGTTCTTCTCTTGAGGCATGACGCCCACATTGAGAAGAGCCGTCAGTTGGCAGTCTTGGGATATATGATTTGTGTTGTTACTGATGTCTGGAAGCAGGAAGTAGCTCCACTGTGTACTACGTCATATCGCTGAGTCTACCTCGAACCCCTCCACTCTCTCAGGGCACAGTGAAACCATGGGTTGTACAAAAGAGTTGAGGAGCGTGGTGTGCTTTTGTTTTTTTGACCTATAATATTCCTGTAAAAGTGATGTATCATAATGTCCATGTCCCCCGGTAAAGGCCGGGCGTCTCCTGTCTTGCCGTCCGTAACCATGACTATTGTGGCGGCGGTGGGCAGCAGCACGTGTACATTTGGAGCTGCGAGCCTTGTGTATCTGAATAGAAGCACCACCTGTAACCATAATGTGTATAACTCTAACAGAAACCTGTGTGTGCTTGTTGCCTGGGCAACTATTTTTTTGTATCTCCTGTTGTAGATTGTCTCTCTAAACAATGATGTGTGATTCTTTATTTTGAAACAAAACTGAACAAAAAAACTCAAAATTTGAACTGTGGTTTGGAGTGGTTTGTCTGTGATTTGTGTTGGGTAACATCCTCACCACCCCCGAGAATGCAGAGTCACTTGTCCTACTAGCACTGATTTTAAGCTGATAACTGCTTTATTGAGGAAATATTTACAACAGGTCCTAAGGCACAAGGACCCAGTTTGGAAATCCCTGATTTACACAATTGATTGTGATATGTGGTTCCACCTAGTGACATTTAGGATGATTCATTATCTGAAATGATTGATTGGTTTCTATTGATTCATTGATTGGTTTGATCATTTAAGAGTACACATATAGCCCTTTCACTGCAGAGTGATTTGATTAGCCTATCATGATAAAACAGATCTAGCCAATAATCCTATAGAAGAATATAATAGTTGAATTTTATTGTCATCCAAGAAGGGAATCTCTTTTTTTTTTTCAGACTGGCTGCATTTACACAGGCAGCCCAATTTATGATATTTTGCCCAATTATTGGCAAAAGAGCTGATCTGATTGGTCAAAAGACCAATTGGTGGAAAAAAACAAACCAACAACAGCAGACTTGATGAGGCTACTTTGTATTAGGGGAAGGGAATCTGGAAAGACTTTGTATAGGCCTAATTGTGGTGTTTTCTAATAGGCTTACTTGTAATAATTTCATTTTAAATTGGCCTTTCTTACAATTATTTGTTAAATATTTAACCAAACCATTAAATCAAAAGACACTCCTGTAGAAAATCTGATTTATTAGCGTTGTGTTTCAATAGAAAGTGTCTACCTCCTGTCCTTCCCCTGCTCGACTGTTCTGTATACAAAGGACATGTGAGACAAAATGGCAGGAGAAGGGGGAGGTCTCATGGGAACGTGCCCTCACATGCCCAATAATGATAGGCCAATGTCAGCTCACCTCAATATGATGGAATGGGAAAAGAGGTCAGTCTGGGTCATTATTCAGTGGTAGAGAATAGGCAACATAGAAAAACGTTTATAAACACATCGCAATTGATTGACCCTCCTTCATTGGGCAAGTTCAAGTTGATAAATGTTTTAAAAAATTGTCTAGGCTACTGAACGCGACCCTGTAGAATTAGTTGATATGTTGGCGTGAAAGCCCTCGGTTATTATTTTTCGGTTGGAAAACGGGGCCAGTAGCCAGATGGTCTGGGTGGTCTCGAGCACACCGGAGACCCACTGAACACAGACACGCCCCCTATAACCTACTGGAGCTGCGCCCTGCAGTGTAGAATGCGCCCTACCTCGGCCCCCGGTGCTGTTTCGTTGGGAGGTGTGTGTCAGGGGCGGGGATGGAAGAGCCTGAGGGTGCCTATTCGGGCTGCAGGGGGCATCCTCGCCTCGCCCACCAGAGGAGATCCCCCCCCCCCCTCCTCCTGATACACACACACACACACACCACCTCCTTCTGCCAGACTGACTCTACCAGGCTCGTCCCTAGTTACCACAGCCACAAAGTCATAAACTCCGCCTATTTCTACAATTTCTCTTAAATGTCTTATTTTATATTTCACCACACTGCTAACCTTAAGCCGAACCCTCGCCTTGAGTTAAGACCAAAAAGCTAATTTTTGTTTTCATGCAGTTTTACGATATTCACCGTTTTTACTTTGTGGCTGTGGTAACTATAGTGAAAACCCTCTCTCTCCCAGGCCGACCCGCGTCGCCATACGGAACATCAGAGAGCTGAGGGCTGGCGTCTCCTGGTAGTAAATCTATCAGGTCTCGAGCACATAAAGTCCAAACGAGGGGGACAAAGAGAAAAGTGCCTCCCTCGCAGGAAGGAGTCTCCCATCCTTTTAAACCTGGTTCTATTACCGGAGAGAGGACACGCGAGGGTTTAGCGTTTTACGGAGACGGATTAATAAAACGCCAGACGGATGTTCGGGAGGAGGTGTGGTGCGCTCTGAAGTTGGAAACTACTGCCTACCGAATACCGAGAGAGGAGAGAAGCGCTTTTGTTTCCCCGTGAAGGCTCGCGCCCCCCATCCACAGCATGAAGCTGCCGCCTTGTTTGATGGCGCTCATCGCGGCACTGCTCGCTCACTCCGCGCTGGTAAGGGCACGAGACTGCCGGGTCCTTTGTGTATTCTACTGAGGTATTGTTACATTTATACCAATGAATCACCTCGATGGACTGGGAAAACCGGGATCTAGGGTTCCATAGCATAGGATATTGATAGGCTATGGTTTTGAAATGTGTGTGGTGTTAGTGGTTAATGAGGTAGCTTTGTGTGTGTGTGTGTGTGTCTGCTGCTCCGTGGTCCGGTAGTAAATGTTGGACTCGACCCACATTTGGTCGCGAGCCGCTCGTGACTCTCGTGTCTATCTCGCGGCCCCAGTCTCCGGGGTATTTGTGTCTCCGAGACGGCGGGGAGGCTGTACTCCGAGCTGTGTGTAATTAGCGGGTCTGTTCTGATTGAGGTTATTATGGGCTGTTTGGTGAACTGCTCTTGTGACGTCTGTTTCGCTAACTCACATCCGTCCCCCAGTAATTCAGCTCGAGCCTTTTTAGGCTACTGCGGTGGGGTTTCGATTGGCTGCCCTGTGTATATATGCGGGTGTTGGTGTCTTTTTCAGATACTGAGGTGAGGGCCGGCCTGGAGTTAACGGGGTCCTGTCCGTTGAGGATGGGTGAGAGACCCTGGGGCTTCTCCGGTAACCGGAGGGTGTGAAGAAGGGGTGGGGTAGGGGAAACGCCATGCGGTGAGCGATGGATGGGGATGATGTCATCGGGAATCGCGAGGATGCGAACTGTTAGGAATGCGTGAGTCTCCTGGAACCATCCGATGCTTCACGCGCATCCAGAACCCCCTCACCAGCTGGTACCAATTTATCCTCCATACCGGGAGAGATATAGCCCAGTCTAAATATAGCCCACAGTCCATCTTGGATGCAAAAGTGCTATTGTCTTAAAATGGTAAAACACATAATGCCTAAAAATACCCTTGAATAAAAGGAGACGTTCGGTAGCTTGACCTATTCACTATGTGGTCAGATTTGCTGGAGTATAGAGCTCAAACACAATGTTTAACTTCACTGTTTTGAGAAGGAGAGGGGATGCAGGGAGGATGCAATTGAGATTCTCCCACAGACTGGGTCAGTCGGTGCTGTTGGCCGCCAAAGATCTACCAACCTCTAATCTGACCCTGATGACACACCCACAGAGAAACAGTCATAGAAAAACACACAGATGGAGGCAGGTGTGTGTCCCATGTTGTCACAGGTAACATCATATCATCTCAACAATGCTCAGTAACCCCAGACAGCCCTGCCCTCGGGACAGTGACACACATACACACTTCAAAGGCACTTGCACACAGATGGGCATATTGCTCAGATCTTTTGCTGCCTCCAGTGACTGACTGGTGGTGTGTGTGTCCTGGTTCAGTCCTCAGTGCATGGTCTGCGTTGGTATTTACTTCCTGTGATATGAGGCTGTGATTTCATTTCCTGCCGTGTAAGTTTTTAGATGAAGCCTCATTTTTCCCACATACATCTACTGCATCCCACAGAGACTGTGTGTGTCAGTGTGTGTGTGTGTCAGTGTGTGTGTGTGTGTGTGTCTGCCTGCCTATCTTTTCGTACCAGGGTTGGTGTGCTAGCTTTTTTGTGGTGTGTATGAAACGAGAGAGCTTTTATGTAGTGTGTGTGTGAGAGAGAGTAAGAAGTCGGGTGTTTTTGAGGATCATGTTTGGTTCAAGGAATGAATCAGTTTATTTAGCCTGAAATGGTAGACAAAGCCCCCCCATGGAGAGCAAACGAGGGAGGGAGGAGAAAATTGTGAGAGAGGGAGAGCGAGAGAGAGAGGGGGATAGAGAGTGTGGAATGTCAGAGGCAATTTGACACATGAAGTGGGTCCTTCTCACTTCTTTAGAAGTCTCTCTCTCATTCTCTCTGTCTGTCTCTGTGTCTCTCTCTCCTCTCAATTAATTTAAATTCAAAGGGCTTTATTGGCATGGGAAACATATTTACATTGTCAAAGCAAGTGAAATAGATAAACAAAAGTTAAATGAATAGGAAACATTACACTCAAAAGTTCCAAAGGAATAGAGACATTTCAAATGCCATATTAAATCAAATTTTATTTGTCACATACACGTGTTTCAAAGATTTTATTTCGGGTGTAGCGAAATGCTTGTGCTTCTAGCTCCGACAGTGCAGTAATATCTAACAAGTAATATCTAACAATTTCACAACATACAGTGGGGAAAAAAAGTATTTAGTCAGCCACCAATTGTGCAAGTTCTCCCACTTAAAAAGATGAGAGAGGCCTGTAATTTTCATCATAGGTACACGTCAACTATGACAGACAAAATGAGAAAAAAATATCCAGAAAATCACATTGTAGGATTTTTAATGAATTTATTTGCAAATTATGGTGGAAAATAAATTTTGGCCCATTCCTCCATGCAGATCTCCTCTAGAGCAGTGATGTTTTGGGGCTGTCGCTGGGCAACACAGACTTTCAACTCCCTCCAAAGATTTTCTATGGGGTTGAGATCTTGAGACTGGCTAGGCCACTCCAGGACCTTGAAATGCTTCTTACGAAGCCACTCCTTCGTTGCCCGGGCGGTGTGTTTGGGATCATTGTCATGCTGAAAGACCCAGCCATGTTTCATCTTCAATGCCCTTGCTGATGGAAGGAGGTTTTCACTCAAAATCTCACGATACATGGCCCCATTCATTCTTTCCTTTACACGGATCAGTCGGCCTGGTCCCTTTGCAGAAAAACAGCCCCAAAGCATGATGTTTCCACCCCCATGCTTCACAGTAGGTATGGTGTTCTTTGGATGCAACTCAGCATTCTTTGTCCTCCAAACACGACGAGTTGAGTTTTTACCAAAAAGTTATATTTTGGTTTCATCTGACCATATGACATTCTCCCAATCCTCTTTTGGATCATCCAAATGCACTCTAGCAAACTTCAGACGGGCCTGGACATGTACTGGCTTAAGCAGGGGGACACATCTGGCACTGCAGGATTTGAGTCCCTGGCGGCGTAGTGTGTTACTGATGGTAGGCTTTGTTACTTTGGTCCCAGCTCTCTGCAGGTCATTCACTAGGTCCCCCCGTGTGGTTCTGGGATTTTTGCTCACCGTTCTTGTGATCATTTTGACCCCACGGGGTGAGATCTTGCGTGGAGCCCCAGATCGAGGGAGATTATCAGTGGTCTTGTATGTCTTCCATTTCCTAATAATTGCTCCCACAGTTGATTTCTTCAAACCAAGCTGCTTACCTATTGCAGATTCAGTCTTCCCAGCCTGGTGCAGGTCTACAATTTTGTTTCTGGTGTCCTTTGACAGCTCTTTGGTCTTGGCCATAGTGGAGTTTGGAGTGTGACTGTTTGAGGTTGTGGACAGGTGTCTTTTATACTGATAACAAGTTCAAACAGGTGCCATTAATACAGGTAACGAGTGGAGGACAGAAGAGCCTCTTAAAGAAGAAGTTACAGGTCTGTGAGAGCCAGAAATCTTGCTTGTTTGTAGGTGACCAAATACTTATTTTCCACCATAATTTGCAAATAAATTCATTAAAAATCCTACAATGTGATTTTCTGGATTTTTTTTCCCTCAATTTGTCTGTCATAGTTGACGTGTACCTATGATGAAAATTACAGGCCTCTCTCATCTTTTTAAGTGGGAGAACTTGCACAATTGGTGGCTGACTAAATACTTTTTCCCCCCACTGTATACCCAATACACACAAATCTAAGTAAGGAATGGAATTTAAGAATATATACATATATGGACAAGTAATGACAGAGCAATGACATATTATATAATAGAATACAGTATATACATATGAGATGAGTAGTGCAAGATATGTAAACATTATTAAAGTGACTAGTGTTCCATTTCTTAAAGTGGCCAGTGATTTCAATAGGCAGCAGCAGCCTCTAATGTGCTAGTGATGGCTATTTAACAGTCTGATGGCCTTGAGATAGAAGCTGTTTTTCATTCTCTCTGTCCCAGCTTTGATGCACCTGTACTGAGCTCGCCTTCTGGATGATAGCGGGGTGAACAGGCAGTGGCTCGGGTGGTTGATGTCCTTGATGATCTTTTTGGCCTTCTTGTGACATCGGGTGCTGTAGGTGTCCTGGAGGGCGGGTCGTTTGCCCCCGGTAATGCGTTTGGCAGACCACACCACCCTCTAGAGAGCCCTGCGGTTGCGGGCGGTGCAGTTGCCGTACCAGGCGGTGATACAGCCCGACAGGATGCTCTCAATTGTGCATCTGTAAAAGTTTGTGAGAGTTTTAGGTGCCAAGCCAAATTTCTTCAGCCTCCTGAGGTTGAAGAGGCTCTGTTGCGCCTTCTTCACCACACTGTCTGCGTGGGTGGACCATTTCAGTTTGTCAGTGATGTGTACGCCAAGGAACTTGAAGCTTTCCACCTTCTCCACTGCGGTCCCGTCGATGTGGATAGGGGGGTGCACCCTCTGCTGTTTCCTGAGGTCAACGATCATCTCCTTTGTTTTGTTGATGTTGAGTGAGAGGTTATTTTCCTGGCAGCACACTCTCAGAGCCCTCACCTCCTCCCTGTAGGCTGTCTCGTCATTGTTGGTAATCAAGCCTACTACTGTTGTGTCGTCTGCAAACTTGATGATTGAGTTGGAGGCGTGCTTGGCCACGAAGTCATGGGTGAACAGGGAGTACAGGAGGGGGCTGAGCACGAACCCTTGTGGGGGCCCCAATGTTGAGGATCAGCGAAGTGGAGATGTTGTTTCCTACCTTCACCACCTGGGGGGCGGCCCGTCAGGAAGTCCAGGACCCAGATGCACAGGGCGGGGTTCAGACCCAGGGCCTCAAGCTTAATGATGAGCTTGGAGGGTACTATGGTGTTGAATGTTGAGCTATAGTCAATGAACAGCATTCTTACATAGGTATTCCTCTTGTCCAGATGGCTATATACAGTGTTTGCACGACACACTCACACACACAGATAGGTGTGGACAGATATCAGAACTCTCATATATAGGTGTATAATAATAATAACACCTATACTGCTAGGGCTGGGATTTTTTCCCCATCACTACACTACACTATGTAGCCTAGAATACATTGTTCAGGGTTGGGGTAAGTTCCACTCAGTTCATATCCAGAGCTCTGTTACTGTTATACCCTACAGTAGGTCTGAATGTATGGAGGTCTGTATGTATGGAGGTCTGTATGTATGGAGGTCTGTATGTACAGTGAGGGAAAAAAGTATTTGATCCCCTGCTGATTTTGTATGTTTGCCCACTGACAAAGAAATGATCAGTCTATAATTTTAATGGTAGGTTTATTTGAACAGTGAGAGACAGAATAACAACATAAATATCCAGAAAAACGCATGTCAAAAATGTTATAAATTGATTTGCATTTTAATGAGGGAAATAAGTATTTGACCCCCTCTCAATCAGAAAGATTTCTGGCTCCCAGGTGTATTTTATACAGGTAACGAGCTGAGATTAGGAGCACACTCTTAAAGGGAGTGCTCCTAATCTCAGTTTGTTACCTGTATAAAAGACACCTGTCCACAGAAGCAATCAATCAATCAGATTCCAAACTCTCCACCATGGCCAAGACCAAAGAGCTCTCCAAGGATGTCAGGGACAAGATTGTAGACCTACACAAGGCTGGAATGGGCTACAAGACCATCGCCAAGCAGCTTGGTGAGAAGGTGACAACAGTTGG